CTACCTAAATATAAATTTCTTTGCACAATAAATATAAAAATATTTTTCTCAATTTACGTTGAACTTTTTTTTATCATATATCAATCAAGATGTTAAAGTAAAAAAATTTTAACAATATTTATAATTATATAATATTATTGTAATAAAAGGTAATATAAATTATTGTAATGGAAAGGTAAAAGTACAATAAATAACAGAAAAGATTTTATAATTGCAATATATTACTAAATGTAGTTTACAATAAGCAAAACTGTAGTTATGTTTAAAATATGTGGGCGCGCGCGCGTGTGTGTGTGTGTGTGTGTGTGTGTTCATACTACATATTTTTATAGTAAATACGGCTTTTCATAAGAAAATAGTCTTACTAAGAGCGCATCACAGCAGCTTTGGAAATGCAGATCTGTATATCTTCTTACTCTCAATCTTATCATGCACAAGTGGATTATACTCGAATTATCATGATTATATATCAAGATAAATTTTCCTGTTTTTATATGTTTATTATTACTCTACTCAGTTACTTATCTCACATTATCAATATAAATTTTTATACATGTGCATGTAGAATGCATAATTATTGCTGGCTAACAATGTATCTTATATTACTTGTGCAATTTTATTTTTAATTCTTTAACTGTAACTCTCAGATAGAATTATTATTTTCAACGTAAGAATATCCACATAGAGGTTAATCAAGAAGAACATAATGATATGTCAAAGCTGATACTTAGTTAATTCCATATATAAAACTTATAGCATTGTGGCACGTATATAACACTGTTTTCAATAATATTACAGATCCTGTTGAGAATAAGCGGCTAAAAATTAATTGATTTCTTATATATAAAGACATGAGAATTTTATGGTACTGTAAAATATTTTTTTGTAAAAGATCTTTAAAATATTTTCAGGCATAACATTATACAAGCTTCCAATTATTTATGAATGTACCATATTACTCCACATCCAAAAATAAGGTTAATTATAATAACAATATGTATTTTTAGAAGTAATAGAGAAGTATACAAATTTATGATGTTGTTGATGTATTGAATTTTTGTTGGATAATAGATGTTTTTCGCTGTGGTACTGTTTCTGGTGTTGGTATAGCATCTCCTGTTGGCAGAACACCAGCTGGCTTTGGCTTGGCTGTAGACTTTTGTTTTGCCATTTGATAATCCCCAGAATCAAAATATTTTTGCTACAAACATTGAAATTGTGAATCATTTTAAGAAATCAAAAGATTAAAAAGAATAAATAATAGTTTTTGTAAGAACGTTGAAACTCTATACGATAATTAGAAGAATTGATATTTACCCCTTTGGCTAGTCTTTTTTGCAAAAATGCAGAATGACCGCCAAATGGTCGACCAGCTGCATTTGGGAACTTTGCTTTTAATTTTTCTTCTTCCAATTTTTCTATGGCGCTCGACGACAGCTATAAGAAAGTCTTCAATGAGGATCTATTTATATATACACGTATGATTGGTGTACATGAACAAAATTTCATGTAAATAAAATTTTAATAAAGATTACTTCTACTCATATATATATATATTTCCTAAATCTTCTAAAATCCATATTAATGTGTACAACATCATATATTGTTTTATTGTCATACAATCCTAACACGGTTAGCATGAGTAAACTACGAATAGATAGCTCTCCAAATACATATAACAATGCAGTGCAAGAAAGTTAATTCCAGCACATTCAAATCACTTATAATAAATGACAACAATATACAACTTTCTAATAAAATAAAATGCTGTTGCTTTCTATGATGAGGTTCTGATAACTCGAAAAAACCGCCGCAATTTCCAGTTTTCTTAATACACTAATTTATACAATACACTACTTATTAGTAAATTAATTCCATCTTCGTAATTAGTCGCTGTCGTAATTAATAAATCTCGGCAACTTACCTCTGCAGTCGGGCTCTGCACATTCGTCTGATCGTCACTCATCTTCGGAGATTTTAAAACGCCTCTCGTCAGCGACCGCTCGTCTTCCAACCAGTTACCTTTCGGATACTAATTTCGACACTCACGTATATAACGTACATAAGCTAAGTGAGCGCAACGCAATAAACGGCAGCGTCTCTCAATCGTCAGGCAGGTCGTTTCTCCGCCGTATTCCCTACAAAGTGGATACGTGCACCACAGGAATTCCAACGATTGTCAACGAGATTGTTTTCATATACGAACGGCGAAAACAGCGACGGCGTCACATGCAGAGCCATATGTTCCCGGGTGACCGTTACCGACGTTTGCATTAGTTCGCATGGCCGGTTTCCATGCGCAGCAATACAATCCGATTCTCATAGAGCGATTAGTTCAATATTATGAATTATTCCAGCAGAATTATTATTAATTAGACCAGTGCTATCCGAGCAGAGGCGTGCAATAATTTTGACATTCCAGGAGGATACATATATACATGTATATATATTAAAAGCATCATATATAGCATCATATATAATAGTGCTAATTAATCTAAAATATATCCATTCCTATCACTATCATTATTATATCTTTCCCTACTATTTATATTATTTCTATCAATTGATTTACTTTAATCTCTTATGCCTATTTCTTATATATATTAGTTTACTTGCTTGCTTTTTTATCCTTTTGTTTATCTACATTGGTAGAAATTTGCTAAAAATTATAAATCTTTGGATAATTTCAAAATTTTTATATAACGTATCGTTAGTATAATTGTCTCTGATCTAAATATTCTCTATATCGTATTGAATAACAAAAAATTGATAATTAATCACCGACGTAAGTTTTGCAGCTGCTTCATTGAAATCGTCCATAGTAACAACTCCGAGTAAATTTGATTTGAATTGTTTAAAGTAATATTTTCAATTATAATTTATCGTTCTAATTTCTTAATTTTATCTTTCTTTTTGTGTAAAAAAAATTTTAATTTAATTTATCGATGTCAGCATATAAGATGATTCTTTTTTACTTAAAATTAATTAATAAAATATAAATATTTTTATTTGCTAAGTTAATCGTTGATTAAGCTAATCGCAATTTGGTCATTCTTGAATAAAATGAAATGAATTTTCACTATCAGATGCTATAAACATTAAATTGAGATCACGTGACTACGCTTTTCAAGTCTCATGAAATGGCACCTTTAGGATACGTTTGAGCAACGCTCGCAAATCATTTTCCATTTCCTTCTTGTCATTAAATATTAAATTAAACGCAGCCAATCAACAAGTTTGAAAAGCTTATCGTACGACAAAAAATAGATGAATGTAATATTAGCCTTTAGATCTTTGCCAATCCGCGACAATGACACTAGCTGATCTTTGACTCAGGTTCCGCTATGTTCAAAGTGGACGGTGGTGTGTGATGGACGTGATTTGTCGTGCATTCACATGGTATACTGACGACAAGACGATTCCAAAGCATTCCGGGATATTCAGAGAGAGAGAGAGTGACACGCCATGAACACGTTAATTCACACCAAAATGATAGCCGGTCACGGTGGAGTCATTGTTCGACGTATGTGTCACCGTGCGTTACTTCACGTCCTATTATAGATCAGCACGATTTTATGCGATAACTTTTTTGTAATACTTGTTGAAGTAAAATACCTCATCATTATTATCGTTACATTTATATAGTGATAGATAATACGTATCCCACCATGAAATTAATGTGCCCTATTTAAAATGTCAATATCTCCCCGAATTCCCCTATCAAATATTCCATTACAATATAGTCATGTTTAAATCTAAAAAAACGTGGGTTGATAGGTTATGTCCTAGTTTTTTTTACAATATAAATTCATATTTTTTGAAGAGCGTATTACTTTTTTTGTTGCTCCATTTTGCAATTATGAAAGATTTTGTTATTTGTTATGTATGAAATATTTAATTCTTACTTTAATTCTTTGTTCAATTATTAATAGGAAAAGCAAAATATTTATTACTATTAAAAATAATTTGTAATTTACACTAGGATTAGATAAGCTAAATTGTTTTGCTGCATACTAATTTACACTAGATAAGCTTAACTATTTTGCTTTATACTTTATAATTATTAAAAAGATTGGAAACAGTTAATTCTATATTTTCAGGATACTCCCCGTTTAAATTATGGTACAATACCAATCATACAATGGGTAGCATATCTTTAACTTATACTCGTTTGAGAGATCCAAGAAGATTACTGCTGGAGCCTACAGTGCTACCAATGTATATTAATAATAAAAACATGACATGTCTACAAATTCGTACCTTTTATGTAACTCCAAGTTGGAATGGCCAAGAGCCATCATCTAAGATTGAAGAAACAGTGAAAAATATTAAAGAAGAAAAAGAACTTCAAAATAAGACAGTACACAATGTTGCCATGAAAAATGAACAACCAAAAAAAGCTGTCGCTAAAGTTACAATATGGCAAAAAATTAAGGGCGAGATATTGCATTATTATCATGGATTTCGATTATTAGGTCTCGATATGAAAGTATCAGCAAAATTAATATGGAGAATTTTACATGGGAAGTCTCTTAGTAGAAGGGAACATCGTTTGGTATGTTAAGCAGATTACATTTGTTATATATCATTTGATATATATTAGTATTAAGATATTAATCAATCATATTTTCTGACAGCTGATAAAAACAACTGGGGATATGTTTAGATTGATTCCATTCTCTGTTTTTATTATTGTTCCATTTATGGAATTTCTATTGCCAGTGGCAATTAAATTATTCCCTGGTATGCTACCTTCTACTTTTCAGACAGCAGTTGAAAAAGAAGATAAACTTAAACAGGCTTTGAAGGTAAAAT